ACAATCCTTGATATTTGATTCTCAATTCCCACCACTTTTTGTTTAACTCATCGGAACTTGTTTTGCCTGAGAAGACATCCCATCGCCACAAATCCATGAGATAACCAAATGGCAAGAATGCTATCTTTGCTAAAGCCTTTGACATCTGATAGTTTAGAGTAGTTTCGTGATCGTCGACGAGTGGACTGTAGAGACCAACTTTGTTGAGATGTCCCGGAGTGGACACTGACAGCGCTAATAAGTCTCCCACCGCTTCGTGAAAGCCTTTTATTTGAATTGAATATAATTAATATTTAATTTTTAATTCAAACACGAGTACTAATGTTCTTATACCTGGATTTGCTCCTTCCCTAAAGACAACGGGTTGGTCACGATATTGGAGGTAATATTCAATGTGTCCCATTTCGTGGTGAATTGTAATGAGCTCTTCCATAGTCACATCAGTACACATCTTAACCCTAAATATTATATTCAAATATTCAGTAAAGAGTTAATTGCAAATTAGTTTGAATGTAGACCTGAAGTCTTGCTGGTCAAAGAAATCCCAGGCCGACGCGTGACAAACCATTTTCTTGTTGTCGGGCTTTACAAATACGGTTTTGTTCCAGAATATGTCGGGCATTCCTATGAGTCCTAAATCGCGGTAAAATTTATCCGACAATTCAAACATTTGTAAAGCCGTCCAATTCTGTATATTATAATTATATAGTTAGCAAAATAAACAGTATTTCACTACTTTATTATTAAAATTACATTTGATTTCAATGTATTTGTTATATCAATTGATTTCTTGTTAGGATACGGAACCACCAAATCCAAGATATTTCCTATATTTTTGAGTTTTATTAATTTTAAAACATTAACATTTATAATTATGTTCAATAATAATATTATTTGGTTTACCCCACGATTGGGCCCACATATTGCCCAATAGATGAGCGGGAATTGTGCCGTCGGATGGCATTTTGTCACCGTAATGTTTTTTCAGTNAACATTAACATTTATAATTATGTTCAATAATAATATTATTTGGTTTACCCCACGATTGGGCCCACATATTGCCCAATAGATGAGCGGGAATTGTGCCGTCGGATGGCATTTTGTCACCGTAATGTTTTTTCAGTTTCATACGAATAAAAGTGTGCAGTTTTTTGTACATTCCCTCCAACTCTAGCCATAAGCCCTCCATTTGATCCTTAATATCAGTTGTTTCCCACGGAAAGAGCCACAAGTCGTCCAAAGTTTTGAAGCCATTCTTGACGGCAGCCCTATTACCCAACGATACGTATTCTTTATACAGTTCTCGCACTGGTTTTCCCGCACTCGCTCTCCAGTTAACCCACGCCTCCTTCAGCTCATCATAATCTCGCGATTTTGCCATAATATTAGTTAAATCTATATTTATTACGATACGTATTCTTTATACAGTTCTCGCACTGGTTTTCCCGCACTCGCTCTCCAGTTAACCCACGCCTCCTTCAGCTCATCATAATCTCGCGATTTTGCCATAATATTAGTTAAATCTATATTTATTGTATTAATTTGAACACATTTAATACTATTCTAATTTCAAATACAACATTGTAAAAATGATGCTGAATCAAATAGATTATAGTTAATAAACAAAACTGACCTGGCTCCAATTCTAGATTGCATTTGTCTTTAACACAAGCCGTAGCGCTTCCGTAGTTTTTCTCCATTTCTGTCGTGACATTTGTGTACTAAAAGCAATTGACTATTTAATATTGAAATAATAATTTATTTTTACAAATAATGAATTAATACTCGTTTGGAGTCTTCTTCTTCGAGAGCAGCGATGCCTAAAACTGATAGCTTTTCAAACTGTCGTCTTGTGCTGTAATCTTGAAAGTTTGTAAAATCAAATTCAGTCACATTTCTCCACAACTCCTTCTGAAATATATTAGACTTTGATCGAGAGCAGCGATGCCTAAAACTGATAGCTTTTCAAACTGTCGTCTTGTGCTGTAATCTTGAAAGTTTGTAAAATCAAATTCAGTCACATTTCTCCACAACTCCTTCTGAAATATATTAGACTTTGCCGTCTCTTCGATCTAAATCATCAAAAAAATAACAACTAGTGATGTTATTATGTTTTCTATAATGATAAGTTTGTATAATAAAAAATATGAGCTAAAACACACTAATATAACAATAGATAAATTTAATTATACATGAAATGACTCTAATACTAATGCCAAAATTTTCAAGGTAAAATTCACAAATATAATAATACATACAACTCTCTTTTCATGTGCATCGTTAATATCAGTACTGAAATCCCATTGAATTAAAGCCAACCGATTGTTATGTTCGGCGAGTTTTTTGTTCACATCTTTCAGAAAAATTTGAGCCAAACTCTCATCCGTTAGTTT